AAGTAGGCCTAATCCAGCTTGTGGAATATGCGCGATCACGTGGGAGTAGCTGGTAATTGGCTAAAACAGTCTAGATAAACATGCAATAACAAGAGCAAACTAACGAAGAAAGGTCAAGCGCGGATGACAATTAATGATTGGCAACCGTCTTGTCAATAAAGCCGCTTCACTGGATGGAGAAGTTTCAGCAATATAATTGCAGCCGCATACGCTGGGGCACGCGCAAATGTCATACTCTGAACATCTGTATGCCACTTTGTAAGAAAATAGCTATAGAGCGCGACAAAGCATGTTCGGTACTAGCATGAATAAGGCACAATTAACACGATTCATTTGTTTATTACTCGATAGCAAATAGTCAGTGCATCACAGATATCATTACAATACAGACCATGTTGGATAACCACAGGAATTGCATAAAGCATGCTTACCCTGACTGATCCAATCACTTTTTACCACTAAATACTAGTAAATAACGGACATTAAACTACTTTTCAGCAACATAATCTGAACACGATCTGGTCGGACTAAGCTGTGGAAAGACAATCTCTGTGTACGCGATCAGAATTACCAAAAATAATGGAGAACATGGGCCCTTAGATTTCCAAGGTTTCCAATCCGGTTATTGTTTCCTTCACAATATTTAGACCTAGAAATGTTTTTTTTCTAGTCTACATACTGCACAGCATCATGGGTTCGACTGAGTTTTGTGCGAGAACAAGGATGCTACTTCGTAGTAATTGTCCGCGGTTTTCGTTCAATTGCTTAGACTAGCCAGTGACAAAATGCCGCAGGCCGATAATCAGAAAATCATTTGCTGTCATTTTGTTTTGTGCTCTACTAAAGTCAGCTGCTTCGGAGGATACAGGACAAACGACTTGTCATTTATCAGAACTGACAAAGTGTGTGCAACTTGCTCACAAAACGTGACAAAACGTTGAAATAAAACCGAGAGCGAGCCAGTTATTTGCGACTTCGAAAAAGTTAGCACTGGTGTATGACTAAAAACGTAAAAGTGGAACAGTAGCTTTCTGCCATTGTTGCAGTGATTAGCAAACAATCAGCCATTGGGCGACGCGATAATTTAAGTTCACGCCATAACTGCAAAGACAGTATCGCTTAACCAGTTCACAACCAATGGAAGTCCCAAATTTTTGGGTTCATACATAAGGATAAGGGTTGATTCCTGGCCTACTCAAAATCCCTTAGAAAGAAAATACAAATAGGTTTAATACAAGGCCTGAGACACCAAGAGCAGCAACTTTACACAAAAACCTCCCGACACGATTTAAACATATGACGAAAAGTTAGGAGCGTTGATACACATACCGTCAAGATCTAGTGCGATGGTAGGACCATTTTTTATGAGAACCTCGAGTTTCTTGACAATTAGGTGGCGTGGGTCGTTGGGAACTAAACATGCTAGTAATTAATCTTGTGGACGTACAAGGAGTGGTTTGAACCACCGAACCAAGTAAGTTCTCCTTGTATCTTTTTAACGCTTCATCATCGGCATCTAAATTTACAAGTTCTTCAATCGTCTTCTTTTCGGGGGCTTTATAAAGATCTGGCTCGGGGACCAAATCGGCATCATCACCAGACGGAGCGGCCATTGTTGCGGTGAAGTTCTGGGGTACAGGGGCTAGAGGAAGTTTGATTAAGCTCCTAGACCTGAGGATCAGAAGCAAAGGCGAGCCATTTTAAAAAAAGCAATTCAAGGTTCCTGATAGGGTAACTGTTTTTTCACTAGAATATACTGGAGTAAAGAACGTAAGAATAGGACTGATAAATTCAGGCAGTATGTGTGGAGGTGATTTCAAGGATCGACCAAACTGAAGACGCCCAGAACGCGGTCATATATTCTCATGTGTCAGAAGGGTTAACCGTGAAATTCTTGAAAAGTAAACATGCGAAAACAGAACCCTGTTGACCAAAAAATCTGCTTTAACGTGAAAATTTGAGGGGGACAGTAGAAGGAAAAATATCGCCTAAGTTCCGGATAAAGACGAGTAGCGAGCTCATGGGCGGAAAACTTCTTCCCTTAAAAAGTGAATTTATTGTTCCAGTTTGTCCAATCAGTCTAAACAAACGGTGCAAAGTTCTTTTGTCCGTCTATAAAGGATCTGCCTACTGCATATGTTAGCTTTATCATATTATATTTTCATATCGGACGGGAATTATACATTGGAATTGGGAGGAAAGCACATAAATCCCCTACATAAAGGGGTGCCAAAACCTCGAGATACATCCTGATCTAGGCTGTGGAGACGACAATTAAGATCGTATTTGTGCAATTCCTGGATTCTCACTACCGCTTATGAAAATCCGAATGTGTATCATCAAAATAAGAGTCCCACGCGACAAATTTGCTGCAATCTCTCCCGATCTGGATCCGAGACTTCAAGGTGTGGCACACTTTTCATTTCACCGTCGTTGAGTCCGAAATTGTGCCGCACTAGAGACTGTTGGGCAAAGCTAGAATGAATAGGGATCAGAGATTACTTCCTCATACGGATTAACCGTTTTCTTGTGGATCAGCGCTTTGTTTTGTGCATCCATCAAGACGACTCAACTTTTGCTCCATCGGAGAGGGGAGTTTCCATGATTGAGTACTAGGGTCATCCTGTTCCTTTTATACTTTCACGATGGTGTCGGATATTTGACTATGAAGCAACAGTGGTTGCCGTTGAAATTAAAATCTGGTTTATAATCTGGAACCCTATCGATAAGGATATACTGCAGATTAACCCAAAATGACAGGCTGGAAAGTTTTTAAGGAACATGGAAATATTTGTGTTCCAAACCTGGCCAGAGGGATTTAACGTGGCACTTAAGAGTCAACTCCGGATTTTCAGATTTTGTGGTCGTCTTTGAATTATTGCAAGGCACATGGTTCCCCTCTTCAGCTTATATAATTTTACGTTGCAAATAAGTTACGCAAAGCTTTGTCCATATCTCCCTAAAAAAAGTTAATTGCATCGTACGGGCACTAATATATAAGGACGATGTATGCACTACTTCCTACTGTGCTGAAAGTGGTTAGCTTGGTTCGCTGTTTCTTAAAAGCTTTATTAATCGGCCCTATAACCAGATCATATGGCAGACCTATTACGCCACAAAGTGAATTGAAAAAGCTTCTCACTTTATTTGTGCGGGAAGTTGACTTGTCTTCTGTACAGTAGAGACAATGGACTTACGAAAGCATGTTAACATCTGTTGTGAAATCCTTCTTCTTGACCGTGACTTGAAAACTTTTTAACATTACGTTGATGATTATATGCATAACGATTAGTGAAGAGCAATTATTAGTCAGTGCAATTTATCCCTTTATTAATATATAATGTTTCTCGGATATTTGCGCTTTGCTACATCTATAAACACAAAAAATGCACGTAAAAGTAAATGAATTTACAAATTCAGGGGGAGTTGTACATACTTATGCTCCTACTGCTGCCCGGACGAGCATCCCCGAAACATAATTCCTTCAATAGAATGTGACTCCTACACTCCACACTATGACGAGGCAGCCACAGTTGCGCCGGACTGGCTAAATTGAGCTTCCAAAAAGCAAATTCGCTATGGGTTTTCGGAGACAAGCTGTTCACCAGCAAAATTGTCAGGATATCCTGCGGGCCATTTTTAATTCATTCGAAAACAAAGGCAAATTTTTTTAAGGTCAACCGTCCATGAGAAGAACGATTTAGTTTCGAGCTGAAATTTGTCGGGCAAAATAATCGCCCTGTCAAATCCTAAAGAATGGTTGGCATACCTTAATGCGCCACCAACACATAAGCCTCTTATATTGTATATCGAAATAGAAGGTTATTTTGCGCATGTTACTTGCTCGGGGGATCAAGTCAAGTTTTACATTCGTTCACATTAGTTTCCCTATAATATCCTTTTCGGCAACGGCATTTGCATCAACAGAAATCATTTGGTCCAAAACTCTCTCGAGTGTGACGCGGCCTACGGATAATTCAGCGAACAGCCCAGCAAACCAGTCCCTGGGGTTTCAAATTGCACTTATCGTTTAGAAGAAGATTCATTAACTGGAACGTTTTCTTATTGCTTCCGTCTGTGTGGAGCTTAACTCCACTGCTACACCAATTTTTGCAGGTTTTGAGTTTTTTGTAAGACATTAGGTGACATACCAGCTTTTCAGTTCATTTGACGACAAGTGAGGAATCATTTTGTCGTTTTCTGATAGCGTTTTTCTGGGCAGCTTATTCTGGTACTGCCATCTTTTCGCGTGTTCGTTTGACCACCATCTGTTGAAGTGATTTATCTCGTTCTGACCCATGAACTCGCAGCATCTCGTCCTTTCTTGAACAAGCTTTTGGCAGTTTTTGTGAAGTCGCAAATGAGATATTGAAGGAGCACTCGGATCATGCATCTGCCATTTTGAACTGGCTTGTGATTCGACAGTTTTGGGTTCAACGGATGTTTGTACGAGACACATTTCGATAACACATTATTGTTCAGAGACTTTTGTGGAAAGTGAATGATCTCATAAGAAAAAGAATCACGAGCGTCAACTGCCTCCCATCATCGGGTAGATTGGAGCAAGTCACAATCAAACGGCTTAATCATAGAAGTGTACAGCGATCGGGTCTTCTTCCTTCGAACGGCTTCCTGGAATTTCCTTGTTCTGTTCTTTACTGCTCATCTTTGTCTGAGGTCCTCGCATAGCCTACTTAGTTGGCTACCTGAGACTCCACGATCAATGTACATCCTGATGACGTTCTCCATGGACATGCTTTTAACCAGCAGACCAGTCGGCTGCAGGAAGTTCGGCTTTAGACCCAATCCGCTGCCTACATTGTGTTCCTGGCCGCACGATGGTGTTGTATTGTGAAGCTATCACGGTCGCCCACCCTATATTAATATGTTCTGACGTCAATTGCACTGACTACGTAGATGTTTGCGATTGAATATTGAAAAAATGTTTGGTAAACCCAGTCAGTTCTACAATTTTATTAAGTGAAATTTTTCGTCTTACACGTCACTTTCAGTCAGAAAGCGTATGAAAAACGCCAGCTTCCGTATGGAACTGTACAAATGTGTACGTGACAGTATCAAATGAACTGGACATCTGGACATCCACGAATGACATTCTACGAAATAACAGTAACAAAACAACTCAGGAGGCTACCGGTACGCAGTATTGAATCGTATATACATTTAAACTACCTGATTATAAACTTTTCGGAAACATTTTCTGTTGAAACTTCGCAGGAGACCACATTGTTAGCTACCACTTAGAAGGTTATTGACTGCAGACTCTTCAGTAATCGACTGACTTAACGCTTAGGAGAATTTTGAACTGCAAACATCAACGCTACTACAGACCAACCGTGGGCTTATCCACGCAAAAAAACTATAACTTCAAACTAAAAGTGCTAAGCAGCATACGTGATGAAGTCTAAGACTTGGTCGACGACAGCATCAAAGAAATCAACAATCTCATTTTTTGAGAAGAATAGGCAACAAGAGGATGGAAGTTATAATGTGTGCCACATTACCTTTAATATATTTCAAGGGATAGAATAGCAGATAAGTCTCTTAAAGTCAGTTTATTAGCCCTTGAACTCCCTATGCACGTCAAGAATACCAATATAATCGATTTTTATTGCAGACAACTCAGGAAAGTCATCGGTGTTGGTTCCGACTGAACAAGTTCGGAATTCTCCACATCTCTTCTTCTATGAAACTCCCGTCCGACCTAAAAAAAATGATCGTTTACACTTTCCTGAAGACTGTTCCCCTCTTCCCTAGAACGTTGGCCGCTCTCCCTCACTCAAATGCACATGACTGAATAATGCCCTCCCCCGGCCTCGACCCTTCGTTCACATTTATGCATTTCCCATGGCGACCACCGTGAAGTGATGTGGACACAACGAGCCAGCTGTCCGTACCCCCTCCCCCTTCTCGACCCAGCTACAATAATAAATAAATAAGTTTTGTATTTTAGGCCCGAAGGGCCTCGTCATTGCAAACTTAGTGCTGTGGAAAAATAAATACAAAGCTGATAGATGCTGCTCTCCGTGAAGAACCACATAAGCATCGGGAGCGTTTAGTAGTGTTGGCAGATAAAATTTATGCCCATCAACATATCGTCGTTTTAAAATAGTAGTCAACACTCCCTGAAAACGCATGGTGAACTAGGGAGGAAGCAGTGAAAGAAAACTCCTACCATTAAAACGGGGGCAGTGATCAGCGGACCCCCGCTTAAAAAGGAAACAAAACGTAGGAGAAAAAAAACCGCTTCTGCAAAATTAAGGAGGTTGGTTGATAGGATT